GATGTAAAATTATTCTTTTTATCCATTTTCTTCTAAATGTTTTTGAATTCTTGAGAGCACTATAGAGAGCACTATACAATGCTATTGCATGTCAGCTTCAGTCTGGTACTCTCCTGTACAATTGTTGATTCATGATACCCTCAATGATGGCAACAAAGGCTCTCCCTACCAACTAGTAATAGCACTTAGATTTATATACAGCCTTCATGACAGCCATTGTTAAGAAGATTCGCTATTTTTTCAAATCATCTTCTTTCCAAGACTTTATCTCTGACTTTTGATTGGTGCAGTCCCAGAGCTTTGAAATAGTTCTCCCAGACTGATGGGCACCAATTATTATATATACAAGCTTTACATTTTTTTTAAAGTAAGCCATGATCTACCTCTATAACTATGTGGCGAGAACTACTGTGTGACAAATGAAGGCAGAAATCTACATAGGGTAGGAGTGGCCAAATCAACCTTCGTTGTTTAATGAAGTGTTCATATAATTCACTTTAGCTGCCCTTTTAATTGAATGGACTGAAGCAAGAAAACTAATTTCTTTTTCATATTGCTATATCATGTGTTGGATTACTTTATTTGTAACATAAAGAAAACAAATACTAAACTGTAGTATTATTTATTAACTGCCTACCATATATATTAATAGGACCTATGTAAAGATCGTTTGCAAAGATATACAAAACTTCAAAAGATTCAAAAAATTTACTTCCTTCTTCTCAGACCTGTACAGTACATCATATTTTTCAAGAAAAATTCTGAAAATCCAAAAATATAATTTAGAATATTTTACAGGGATTATTAACAGTGTTCTTTTCCCTCAAATGTGGACATTTCCACCTATTATATTAGATGGCCATATTCCTACCCCCATCCCCTTCTCTGATAAGACCCTGGGGTCAGTACAAAAGCAATATCAAACATCAAACCCAATAATCAATAACTACAAAATGTGCTGACAGCAGAATCTAATGCTTTTTTAAAAAGAAATTCTTAATTGCCAATAGACTACAGAGGCAATGGAAATAAACTATGCCTTGGGGCACAGTGTTCCATATATGGGACACTGCATAGAGACGTCTCAGCTTTCTGCCTGCCTGACTAGCTTTATTAGGTCAGGGATGCAAATCGACCTCAAATAATTTTCAGAGTACATGGGAAATAACACGAGGAAGAAAAGGGTCTTTTCAGATGCAAAAGCCTTTTAAACTAAAAGATTCACAACTACACTTTGAACTGACCATTGGAAGAAATAACAATTTTAGCATGTAAAAACTGGAATTCAGTGTTAATACGACAACAATGCCTAGCATATGCCAGCAATCAAAGTATTGCATTTTATATCAACTGCCTTTGAGGGATAGCTCTGTATAAACCACATGAAAACCCTCCAACCAGATAACTAGAGAATGAATGACTGGAACACTGGAGAAAAGTGCACCTCACACCATTTCTCCATTTCCTCAAACTCCAGAAGTAATGCTACCTCACATTCAGACATCCACTATTTTAAGAATGAAACCCCATCCAACAGAGGTGGCACGTCTAAAGCCAAGTCATCTCACCCATTTACTAGAGGCATTTTCATCTTGCCAGGATTACCTTTCACTATCCTTTGCTCTACACAGTCTGTCATAGGCTGTCAGTGAGAAATTTGATAAGGCTGTGCATGCTTCAAAAATAATTTCAGGCATAAGATTAAAAAAAAGATTATTTTCATGTTTGCACAGAAGACTGAAAAAGACTAGATGTTTTAATGATAGCAGAGATGCTAAGCTTGGGTTAGGTTCAAAGCACCTCCTCAGAATCACTGAAAAGTGCACAGCCCTGCAGTTTATTATTTTTATTCTTTTTCCAAAACCAGATAAAAACAAGAGATCAAGCTGGAGAGTGCCAGCATCCTCTGCAATCCAAATCTACCAATAACTTCACCCCAAACTTTCACCCAGAAGATAAAATGACTTTTTATCTAAATGTTCCTAACAAAGATGTTTTTAGACGAAGCCTTCCTAAATTATACAGGCTTGCAATGATTTATCAATACAGTTCTTATTGCACCAGTATATCCAACTGGACTTCAAAAAGGCACTGCCAACATCTCGTCACAAGACTCTGCAGAATCTGCATGAAGTATTAGGGCCCATGATACTTTGCACAATCCCATTCTATTGACTCCAAAAGTTGTGAATGCCCCAGCACTGGAAGTCTTTAAGATGATGTTGGATAGCCATTTGTCTGAAACGGTATAGGGTTTCCTGCCTAGGCAGGAGGTTGGACTAGAAGACCTCCAAGGTCCCTTCCAACTCTGCTATTGTATTGTATTGTATTGCATTATATTATATTGTATTGTGTTCTGGACCAGAACAGATTATGGATTCCTCCTGAATCATATTGGAATCCTGTATAAAATTGCAAGTAACAGTAATAAGCCAAGTCCTGTCTCCCAGCACAAGACAGTTTCAATTAGAAGGGTTCCACCAGAAGTTGCCTTAAGTGCAATAATGACATACAAGTAACAGCATTCTTACTATTCTGGCAAGAGCAGGCAAATATGATGCAATACCTCTCCAAAGCAGAGTGGCTGGCATGCTGCAACACAAATCTGAGATAATAGCAAGAACTTGCAAGAACAGGTTTCCTGGCAGGGAAAACAGAATCAGGCAGTTGCTTCCTTGCCAGAGACAGGATGTGAGCTTGACACCACTACTGCGTGCCTTACGCTGCTATTATTGCTAGAACCCAGGTAAGGAAGTTGCTACTGTATTTTCAAGATTTACATTCAATTGCAATGTTCCGTGGTGATTCCACTGAAGAAAACAAATTTCTATGAAAAGAACAGAAAATACATGGTTCATTTGCAAAATTATTCATTTAGAGATCTTACAGAGATAGGAAGGAATTCTGTTGTGTGTCCTATTATAAAGACAGAAAAAACAAGGCATTTATAGGAAAATATAAGCAGAACCCAAGCATATATTCTCACTTAATTCTTAAGTTATTCTGTTAATTTATATTCATAAATATAAAGGCATTCACCCACATGGCTTATACTTTGACATGTCTTAATTATACAATTTAAATTCTTTTTATTGATTGCAAAGAACTAAAAGCATTATTTATAAATAATGTATAGTTCAATCCTTTGTGTCTGTTCAGGACGGAATGCAATAGTACAAGATGAATGTGGATCACCATCATTTCTACCAGATAGAAACATGGAGAGTCTTCAGACAAAATAGAATACCACAGTAGGATTTGTACTGCCATCTATGAAGAGTTGACTTGCTACAAACCATGATTTTCAAACCTGAGTTTGAATCTGCAAATCCAGATTAGGCCTAATTAAGATATTAAGTAGACCTATTAAGTGCTAACCTATGTTTAAAAGTTAACAAGAAAAGGAAAACTCTGTAACAGACAAGAGAGCAAATACATTATTAAGGCAAAATTCTGAATTGCAAATAATGATGTCTGGGAGACATCTCTTCAACAAGAAAATATTTGTGGCAGCAAAGAAAAGTGAAGCATCTTTGCAACAGATACCTTGTGACTTCGTGCTGCAGGAGGGCAACGCTGGGTACATAAAACATGACCCCAAAGAATAGCAAAGATTGGCTGGCAAATTTGTCCAGCTGCTTTTTCAAAGGTTTCTCCAGTTCTACCCATCGCACTTGCTGGCTCTTGTTGTGAAACCAAAGGCCAAAATAGTGTGTCTAGAGAGAGAGAAAAGTTTAAAAACAAACAAAAAAGTTATTATTTGGTCTTTGCAAACAATAAACATTTCTCTTTTTTCCCCTTTTCCCTTACATGCTTTCTAACTGTTACTATGCAAATTGGAGAATGAATTCACAGGTCATTCTGGAGTACCTCCGCGATGGTGTTTCACGAGGCATCTGACCTTTGCAAGTGATTTAACAGATCTGGGATCATAAAATAAGCTCTTCAAAATTACTTTATTATTTTTTAATTTATTAATCTCTATATCCACCCATCTCAAGCAAGTGACTCTGGGTTGTGAACAACTATGAAACAATTAAAAACACTTACATTATAATGCACATTCAATAAATATGTAGCAGCCATGGAAAAATGTCATAGATGTCAATATAGGAATTATTGCAATTACAGATATTATATAGGAATTATGGAAGAGATGCAGCTGAAATCTCCTAATCCAGAAGCCATCCCAAACATATTTTTGAGAAAATTTTGGTGGTCCGCAGAAAAATTATTTGCATTTTTTATACTGCACTAAATCAGAGGTCTTCAAACTACGGTCCCTGGGATGGATACCTGCAATTAATGTTTGTGCTACTGCAGAGAGTCTCCCCCTTTGGGGTCTTTTTGTGTGGGTTGGAGGGGGAGAGAAATTCCGACTTGGGGTCTGCTTCATCCTCCTGGTGTGGGGCTTTGGGTTAAGGTTGGAGGGAAGTGCCACTTGTGGCGAAGAATCGGAGGGCTTTGTTCCAGTGATACTGCATCATGGCCTGGAACTGGTTGACCATCTCAGCCCGCTGAATCTCTAGGCGCCAGCACTTGGCTTTGCACTCCCATAGATCTTCCCTCTGCTTGGAAAGCCTATGCTCATAGTCCTCAGTGAGGTGCTTCTGCTGAGCCTCCTCCTTGGTCAGATCCAATTTGAACTGAGCCACCTGTTTTGCCAACTCTTTCTCATAGTGGCTGCTTAGCTCCAACAACTGGTTCCTGTTGGGGCACTAAGGAACCCGGGTGGGCAGTCAAGGAGTGGCCGGGATGGGAGGGGCAAATAGAGGCTGGTGAGGAGCCCCTTGACGTGACATCGAGTTGGCCATGCCCACCCGTATGACCATCTAGCCATATGCACTTAGTCAGTCATTAGGCAGATCATATTAGCGGAATTTAAAATTATGCATTTAGTGCTTCCTGAGGTCCAAAAGCTTGGTGATCCCTGCCATAAAGGGCAAAGACGGTCATCATCCAAGCATCCCAAAGATTTGTTTTAAGATATTCAAACCATAGTTTTATATATTTAAATAAACTTTATGTAAACACTTCAGCTCCTAAATAGCCATTTAAATGCAAATCGTCAGCAGTAAAATACAGAATGACCAACTTCAATCCTTGGCATTGCCAATTAAAAGGTTTAGGCAGCAAATAATGAGAAAGATTTGTAAATGTAACCTTGGACAGCCATTTCCAGTTACTGGGCTCAGAAACAGGTTGACAATATTTGCCAGCTCCTCTCTCCATCCCTAAATTACTGAAATCTTCCAAAAATATGTGACTATTTTGATTCAGGAGAAAATTTTTATTTTGAAGAACCATCAGCTCTTAAGAAAAAATGTAGTGGTATTCTAGTGTCTGGAGGTCATGCTTACAGTTTATTTTTTATTTATTTTATCTGTAGCCTGCCTTTCTTATTTTTACAAATAACTCAAGGTGGTGAACATATTCAACACACCTTCCTTCTTCTGTCTTCACATTGCCTGTTTTCACATTGTCGCTTTCTAGCTTAATGTGATTTTTAGGTCTCACCAATAACAACAATCATAAAATCCGATCAGCAAAATTAGCAGGATGTAAAGCTGGATTCAGGATTGGAGTTAAAAGCTGAGTCTTTTTCCAGTGAATACAGTTTTTATTTTATTTAAGACAACAATTTAGCCTTAAGTGTCATGTAGGAACTGCAACTGAAATATTTAAAGTCCCAGGAAGGAGGAAAAGATCAAGGAGTAAAAAAACAACAACAACTATTTGTAATATACATTAAAAAGTTCAACTAATTAAAGTAACCTGTTCAATGTCTTAACTAAAGGAGGTTAAAGAAAAACAGGATTTTGAGGACTCTTGAGAAAAATAATTAAATTTTAAATTCCTTGGCTGAAAATGTCTCTGTTTAGGATATAAATAAAAATTCATCATGAAATAATTGGTGGAACTCATATATTTTTTTGCCAGATATGAAATATAACAGAAATCGGCTATATTCTAAATATTTTTAGACCTTTTTTAATTTAAATCTTCTGGAGTTTCATTTCCTTCTCAACACCAAATGGCACAGATCTCAGTAAAAATATGGTTCCAGAATTATTTGTGGGGGGATAAGTGAAAACAAGCATAGCAATAAATGTTATTACATCTATCAACCAGTATCCAAGTTTCCTGTATCAGCTATGATAAAAGGCTGCCAATTATCCAAAATGACATGTGGTTAAAACTTAGATCAGTTGGAAGAAAGCTAGAGCTGCAGAGTAATTCAGAACAGCTTTTAAACAGCAGCAGGTTTTGGTAGCTTTTTTTTTAAAGTACTACAATGTAGTAATACAAAAGTCATCAGAAGAGATTCCAAAAGCAAACTAACAAAAACAAAATGTATCATTTGAAGCTTGTCCAGCATTCCAAGAAAAAATGAATGAGTATAAATTCATGGTGCCTGGGAAGCAATGGCGATTGTAAAGAAAGCTGTTCCTTGTGTACCTTCAAACATTTTTGTGATGACTATACTAAGTTGTGGCAGAGAATTTAGCCTGGAATGGAATGCAGGAATGCCGTGTAATTTGTTCTATATTAACACATATCTTTAACCCATATCTTAACTGGATAACTGAATTATCAGATTGCAACTGCAAAAGCATAGAGATAAAATGAGTTCCAGGAGCTGCATGCCAGCTATTTTATCATGCTTTTAGTCATCATTCCTAGCTTATTATATATAATTTTGATTTTTCCTTTTGCCTTGCTCATTTTTTAAAAAACAAAAACCAGAATTATACATAACAGTGTTGACCAACTATTAATTGGATTAGCAAGAAGTCCATTACTTGATATTAGGTGACGTCAAAACTCTACCCTTCCAAAAGCAGTATAGGCAGCAATCAAATGTCCAGCTATACTCCCAACATGAATAAACAGGGTGAAAGATGGAGAAACATAAGGCCCTCCTTGTCTTAGTTGTCCCATAAGAACATTGATGTTTATTTCCATTATCTTCCTAATGAAATAATTTAAATAACTGAAGTCTCATTCATTATACTTTGGCATCATCTGTAAAGAGAACAGAGCCTCATGCAGGGTTATTGTCCAGCAAAGAAGAAACTTCTGTAGTACCGCAGCCCTGTTGATGGTGTACAATCTCCAAAGCAACTTTTTAGAAACTTGTCATCAGCCACTCCTCTCTGGTTAAAACACAAGATCAAAACATTATATAGTATTCTTAGCTCTTTCATACCATTGAAACTTTTTGCCCCAACTCTGTGGAATGAAGCACAGTGCCACTCCCACCTGCAGAGCTGGGTTTTCTTGGCTTGAGATGGGAACGGTATTTGCTGGTGTCTACAGCAAATTGCCTTTGCATGATTTTTGTCTTCTCTATATGTACCTGAACATACAAATTTTGGAGTCAGATGAATCTGTATGTTCTCTTTCTTTGTCATTAAGTGGGTGAGACTGAACAATGATTTTCTGCTTGGACTTAATCATGAGCTGGATTAGGGGTAATAAAATGAAAGGGGATTTTGAAAAGAGGCAGGCTGCGTGAAACTGATCAGTTTTTGTCCAGCAATCTTGTGTTTCATTGAAATTGTATTACTGTTATTCATCAGTTCAAATTTCAAATGCTGATTTATAGATCTGTAGCTGAAGTAAAGAGGCACAAAGAGGCCCCACTCTTCCCTTTAGAGCAGTAGGTCTCAACCTTCCTAATGCCGCGACCCTTTAATACAGTTCCTCATGTTGTGGTGACACCCCCAACCATAAAATTGTTTTATGCTTTCTGTATTTTTTCAAAAATATGTGTTTTCTGATGGTCTTAGGCGACCCCTGTGAAAGGGTCGTTCGACCTCCAAAGGGGTCCCGACCACCAGGTTGAGAACCACTGCTTTAAGACGACATCAAGACCTACTTACTTGCAGCTTAGTGTCGAATTATAGAAAATTGTTGGAAGAAATGTCCAATTGGGGTTCAGTTCCAAGTGGTAAAGACACTGGAAACATGAAGGCTGCTTAGAAGATGGTTTAATGGCGGACAGGACCATATGGTTTGAGTTGCTGGGGAAAAAGGGAAGAGATGCTGAGAGTGCCCTGGTTTTATGCACCATCTGGGCCCTGCTTCCCATTCCTGTGCAAGAAATGCACTGTTTTGATGATCAGACTCCCAGGGGG